GCGTCCGAGCCGCTGCTCCGTGGAGGCCCGGGCCGCCGAGCTGCCCCTCTCACCCCGGGGCCAACTCCAGAGCCCTGGGAAGGGAGCTCCCCTCCTGGGTCTTGTTGCACCCACTTTTATCTGTTGGGATTGTCACTTCGATCATGTTCCCCCATCCCGGTTACTCTTCCCTTCTCTCCCCGGGCCCTGTTCATTAAACCCAAACATTTTAACCCCGTTTTAATGTTCCGTGTGTGTGGAGGGCAGTCGGTATAGTCCCGCTCCAGACAATGCTGAGTGAGGTAGACAAGAACTCTGACGTCCCAGTGCCTCTCGCTGCTCCGTCCACTTTCTGGGAGGTGGCCAGGCTCCTGTTCCTGGGCGTCCCTGGGGAAGACGAAGACTGGGATCTTCTCACCAAGTCCCGCTTGTCGCCTACGTCTCTGGAAGCTCCCCTCTGCTACTAGTATCTGCCTCCTGATGTTCTAGGGCAGAGAGACTCCAAACTCAACCCAATGGAGCCGATTCGGACTCAAAGCGACCCCCTTGGGTTTCCAGCCTATCAATCTTTATGGAAGCCAAAAGCCTCCTCTTTCTTCGGCAGAATAGCTGGTGGATTTGAACTTGCAATCCACCTACAATGTAGGGAGACTCATCTATTGAGCCTTAACGGGACAGACACACCATCCGGATGAGGGAGACGAGGCCATAATGGTGTCCAAAGAGTCACAGAAACGCAGCCGCTTAAATGGGACTGGAATACAAGGAAAACTGTGCCACAGTACCAGTGGCCACCGGTCAACACATCACAGTTGCCAACAGGACTAAAGAGCCTGGAAAGGGTCCACCATTGGGGATAGAAAAGCTTACAAGATTGGCTCAGGGCCCTCCGGCCAAGGCAGTCAGTGAGTGTGGCCCTGATTAAATCAAGGGCACACCCAGGTCAGTGTCACCCCAAGAGGTCTGGCTAGGGGAGTGTTAGGAATCCACTTTTAAGCACAAGCTACCTGAAGGCAAAGCTTTTCACCTTGCAGGTCAATGGTCAGAAAGAACTCCATGGAGGTTGAATCTGTGTGGAGACTCACAATGGATCAAGGGCTTCTCCCACTGCAATGATTTGTTGTGTGGATCATAACACACTGGATCACCTTGAGAAATCAGGGACTACAGATCACTTCATTGTGCTCACGCGGAACCTGTACATGGACCAAGAGGTAATCATTAGAACAGAACTAGGGAATATAACATGGTTGATAATCTGGAAAAGTACACATCAGCATTGTACCCTCACCATACTTACCACATATGTACTTGAGTATAAGCCAACCTGAATATCATCTGAGGCACCTAATTTTACCACAAAAACTGCATTAAGTATGTGCTGAAAAACTCAACTTATCCACAAGTATATATGGTATTCAATCTGTATGCTGACCTAAAAAAGCAGAGCAGCTATACTACATGAGATCGAACACAACCTCAGGAGCGGAGGAAGGCTTCTTAACAACCTATGCTAAGCAGACTTCCCCAACCTTGCTTCCTGACAGTGAGGAGGACTCGAAGCACTTGCTGATGAAGATCAAGGATGGCAGCCTTCAGTATGGATGACAACTCAAAGTAAAGAAAACCAAAATCCTCACCACTAGGCCAGAAGTTATGGAAGCAACAGTCAAGAGATCAAAGGACACATTGCACGGGATAAATCGCTGAAGGCCAGTAGGGGTGGGGGGAATGAGGAGCTGATACCAAGGGCTTAAGTGGAGAGCAAATGTTTTGAGAATGATGAGGGCAATGAATATACAAATGTGCTTGACACAATGAATGTATGGATGGATTGCGATGAGTTGTATGAGCCCCCAATAAAATGATTTTTTAAAATCCTCTGAAGGCCTTTTTAAAGTGTTAAAAAGCAAAGCTGTCACCTTGGGAACTGAGGTGCGCCTGACACGCACCATGGTACTTTGTATTTGACCATGGTGTTTTCAGTGGTCTCCTATACACATGAAGGGTACACTTTCAAATAAGGAAAACTGGAGAAGAATCCAGGCAGTTGAATTATGATGCTGGTGAAAATATTGAAAGTATCCTGGACTGCTAGGGGGAGGGGGGAAGAGCTGTCTTAGATAAGGTGACCAGATGTCCCGCTTTTGGCTGGACAGTCCCAATTTTTAACAGTTTTTCCTGCGTCCTGCAGCGTTTTTAAAAAGTTCCAATTTTTGGAAAGAATGCACGACAAGCTAGGATATACCGTTTTCAGCTGCCATGTGGCTATTTCGCCAAGATAGGAGTTTTATCAATGGTGTCCCGCTTTACCAATGTAAAAATCTGGTCACCTTCGTCTTTCAACAAGTACAGCCAGAGCGTTCCTTAGAAGTGAGCGTGGGGAGACTTCCTGTCACGTACTTTGGAGCTGTTGTCAGGAGAGACCAGTTCCTGGACAAGGTGTGCATGTTTGGGAAAGTCAGCGAAAAAGAGGAAGACCCTCGATGAGATGGCCTAACACAGCGACTGCTACAGTGGGCTCAGAACGTAACAACAGTGGGCTCAGAACGTAACAACAGTTGTAAGGATGACGCAGTCCTGAGCAGTGTTGCGTTCTGAACATGAGGTTGCTATGACTTGGAACCAAGTTGAGGATACCTAACAACAACACTGCCACCCGGAGCCTTCCACAAACCTCCCTGCCATCGAGTCAGTGCCGACCCATAGCGACCCTGTGGGTGTCCAAGACTGACTCTGTTTACAGGAGTAGAAAGCCCAGTCTCTCTCCCTTGGAGCTGCTGGTGGCTTTGAATGAGTAACTACTACACCACTAGGGCTCCGTTTCACCAACCTGGTACTCAGAATTTAAGCTCTGTACAGAATTTTTAACTCTCTGACCCATCTCTAGTTTGAAAACTGACCTTTTTAAAATTCAAAACCCAGAATAGAAACTATCTTCCCAACAAGTATTTAAGGCCTGCACTCAAAGCCAAAAGGTACTTCAATGGTAGCAGTGATAATGGAATATCGAAACCGATGTCCAAGGAATTATATGAACATATAAGCAAACCACTCCGAATAGTTACTGTGCTAGCTGTTCAGTATTTATGCATCACTGCATACATTCTACTAATCACAATTAAATTTTAAAATAGTTCTTCAAAATATTATAGGGGTCAAACCTATAATAATATAGATGCATCTACAGGAGGAGGGACCTGGAAATATCCAAATATACATTGGAATCAGAACCTAAAATATTTCTTGAGGTTTAAATCTGTAAGCTGAATAGAGTTGGGTCCTGTTTTCATGGGTCTTGACTTCAGGCTTCCACCCTCGATAATTATTCAGATTTCCCGACGAAAATCTTCATTTAAAGCACGGGTGAGGAACAACCGGCCCGAGGCCTGTATAAGGCCACTGGACTCACCACTACCAGCTAACATCACACACTGCACCAAAGAGAAGCCATTCCAGCCATCTCACTAGGAATTAATTAAATGTTTGACCAGTGTGGTCCAAGAATGATGTTATAAATATCTAAATGACTCTTGGCAGAAAAATGGTTCCCTGGCCCTGATTTAAGAAGTGAGTAATCAGACAGTGTAAGATATGACAAAATAATAATAATTTATAAATTATCAAGGGTTCATGAGGGAGGAGGGAGCGGGGCAGGAGGGGAAAAAATGAGGAGCTGATACCAAGGGCTCAAGTAGAAAGCAAATGTTTTGAGAATGATGATGCCAACAAATGTACAAATGTGCTTGACACAATGGATGCATATATGGATTGTGGTAAGAGTTGTATGAGCCCTCAATAAAATGATTTTAAAAAAAAAGAACCACATTAAAAAAAAAAGTGAGTAACCTAGGACTCGATCACAAGGATCAATCTAGAACCCCCTCCCAGGGGGACGAATAACAGAAAAGTGGGTGAGGGATGACAGAGGACGATGCAAGATATGGAAATAATAATCTATAACTCATCAAGAGTGTGTGAGGGATGGTGGGCGGGGGAGGTTGGGGGAAGAAAGGGGTAGAGTGGGAAGAGAATGCTTTGAGAATGATGATGATATGTGCAAATGTGCTTGCACACTGGAGGAATGTATGGATTCTAATAAGAGATGTAAGAGACCCCAATAAAAGTGTTTAAAAAAAAGAAGAAGACGTGAGTAACCAAAGCCCCTGCCACTATCAAGAAGAAACCTCTAAAGGTCAGAAACGAATTGGACCGTTCAGCATTACGAACCCTAGATTTCATCCAAGAATGGGAATTGTCGGAAGCAAGTTCATTGTGTCGGCATCGATTCCTGCCCACAGCAGGCCGCCACAAATTCCTTCCCTGGAGCAGGTGATGGGCTCAGACCATTGATCTTGCAGCGAGCTGTCGGGTGCTTAAGCGCTACACCACCAGGGCACCTTAAGAAAGGGGTGGGTTACTTATCTGCCAGTGGTAATGGGAAATTGACCAATTATTTAGGTCTCAAGTCA